GGGGGGGGAACCATGGCCAAGATAATAACGTTCCATGTGGATGCAAAAGGATTCTACATTCATTCTTATATGAGTTGATTTGTATCAACAGCAAATGGCTGAACAGAGTGGAGGGTAGGAGCAGTGTGGGGTGGGGGGTGGGGGGGAACCATGGCCAAGATAATGACGTTCCATGTGGATGCAAAGGGCTTTTACATTCATTCAAGTAGGAATTAATGGTGGACGGCCCGAGGGGTGTGGGGTGGGGGGGGAACCATGGCCAAGATAATGACGTTCCATGTGGATGCAAAAGGATTTTACATTCATTCTTATATGAGTTGATTTGTATCAACAGCAAATGGCCGAACAGAGTGGAGGGTGGAGCAGTGTGGGGTCGGGGGTGGGGGGGAACCATGGCCAAGATAATGACGTTCCATGTGGATGCAAAGGGCTTTTACATTCACTCAAGTAAGAATTAATGGTGGACGGCACGAGGGGTTTCGCATTGGTGGCACTACCACCTACCTACTACCACCACCTACTACTACTACTACTACAACAACTACTACTACTATTACCACTACTACTACTACTACTACTGCTACTACTACTACTACTACTACTCTACTACTACCCAGGACATCAGTGTCTTCTTTTGGAAACGTTTTGGTTTTGGTTTCCTGGTTTTGGTTACCGAATCAGCGGTTTTGGTTACCCAGGACATCAGTGTCTTCTTTTGGAAATGTTTTGGTTTTGGTTTCCTGGTTTTGGTTACCGAATCAGCGGTTTTGGTTACCGAGTCAGCGGTTTTGGTTATCGAATCATAGTTACCGAATCAGCGGTTTTGGTTACCGAATCAGCGGTTTTGGTTACCGAATCAGCGGGTTTTGGTTACCGAATCAGCGGTTTTGGTTACCGAATCAGACGTTTTGGTTACCGAATCAGACGTTTTGGTTACCGAGTCAGACGTTTTAGTTACCGAATCAGCGCTTTTAGTTATCGAATCAGACGTCGACCACAAGTGCATCGCTACTAGGAACAAGTGCCTTACTAGTAGTAACAAGAAGCGCACGTAGAAACAAGAATTAAATGGAAACAAG